GTACAGTTACGCTATTGTGATAATTTATAGTGAGTGCAAAAAGTATTCGTACAAAGAAAATGTTTTTTACAAAAACTTTATTTTTAAAAAATAAACATTATCCAGCAAGAAATGAATCATCGAATTGATGTCGAATGAATATCGATACAATAATTTCAATACTAATTTGACATCGATTCGACGTTTAATTGACGATTTTTTCTTGATGGATAATTAACAATTTATTCATAAAGAATCAATTAGACTGTATGTTTCTTAAAATTATATATAACAAAAAGATGTGTATTAATTATAGAAAACATATCATCTGAAAAATAAACAAAAATTAAAAATTGTATTGTTTGATCAAAAAGTGTTCGTACAGTCGAAAAATTTAGGTTCTAAAATCAGAAATACATGCAAAGCTCGATTGTTTATGTTAGAACAGCACATATTCATTGTATAAAATTGCTAATTAATGTTTATTTTCTACAAATAAGATTTTTTAATAAAAAATTTTTTTGTACGAGTACTTTTTGCTCGCACTGTAAATTAGAAAAATTTGAGAATCTCAATCTAAACTGATGGATGTGTTACCAGTAAGAAAGTTGGGTTATTCCTAATCGTATAGTTGTAATATTAACGCGGTAGTGATTATATTAATATGGTAGTGCCTATATTAAGCATTTAAATATATAGAACCGAATATATGACTGAATTAATCATATTTATAGCTAATACTTCTAATTTTTTCTGTCCGTGTAGTTCGTATTTGTTGTGTTCTCACATGTACGGTCTAATATAAGATTCTTATTGTTCAAGATTTTTATTGCGATATTGAAAATAGCCTCAATATGTCGAAACATTCAACTATTTCTTATATTCGGTTCTAAGCAATAATTTTTATCGCTTTGTACATATTCTAAATATAATACTGCACACCATTGTCTGCGCTAGACTACTATTAGCTTTGTTTCTTATTTTTTTAATTTTTTATCTCAAGAAATCTTACTTATTCTCGATAAATGTTAAACTAATTGTTTATCGACTCCTTATTTCTATCGACAATTAACAGAGCATTGATAAATCGTATATAGCCTGCACATTGACAAGTTATGGTTTATACGACAGAGCTCCAGCATCTATTTTCTATTAATTTTTTCATTACCTTTGCTTAACGAGATGCAGAGGAGTAAGCATTTTATTCGCTAGTAAGAGATAACTTAAGCTTACGATGATAAGCTTATGATTATGTAAGTATAATATATTGTATATTTATTAACTTGTTTTTTTACTTTATTTACATCATAAAACTGTGACAAATTTTATTTAAAAATTAAATATACATTGTTATTATAAAATTTACATCTACTACGAATTTATTAGACTCACAAATGCATTGTTTATGCAAATAAAGAACATTATGATTACTATAATTAACCTACGACGTATTATGTTAACATATACTAACATATATTAACATATATTAACATAATGGTTCATAATTTGGAATCTGTAATGTGTATGTGTTTTCGAAAACTCATTCGGAGTTTTTACACAGTGCTATAAATCAACAGTCACAGCGAATGGTCGCGTACTAAATGTATATACATTTACTTATATCTAGTTAGTATTTTTGTTGTATTCCATTATAAAGTGTAAATATATTTTGTTTTATGTAACTGAATGAATGTAATGTACTATTGCATAATGTTTTTGTAAAAAATTTTGTGTAAAATTGTTGCAGATAATTTTAAACAATATTATTTTTACATATTTCATTATTACAGAGTAATATAGGATTCAGCACGTTTAAAGTTTAATACGTTTCTGCAAGAAAGATTGCAAAGTAATAAGATATAAAATTTGTCGAACATCTATTTGTCATTACAAATCATGAAAATAAATTATACACATTTGCTTATAAAGATGCACTATTTCTTTTTTCTGGGAAGTAAGTAACCATCTTATTAATATATTTACACACACACGCACCTACACACATACACACACACATAGACAGGGTGTTCTATTTTATTTTAAACAGTTAATTTTCTCTAAAACTATCGATACAAAAAAATGGTTTAGATAAAAGTGGAATAATTTCGAAAAGGATGTTTTTGGTTATAGTGAAACCATTAATTGTGAATAACTCTTTAAAAATTCATTTTTTTTTATCCAGAACAATATCAAACAATTATAATAAAATATTTAATAATCATGATTGATCATAAAGGTTACATTATGGATTATTTTATTCCATTTCATTACCGTTTTATATGTTTTAATTTGAATTAAATAAAGTGGATAATGACAATCATCCACAGTTAGACCCCATGTACTAATTGCGGATCAATTCACCAAATGTTTCCTTTTTGGTGACATTACTACATCCCGTAAGGATAATAAAAATGATTTGCGCATGCATATTTCGTAATATATAGAACGAAATTTTAATTGATGATCCTCATCTATATATATATATATAGTTCTGGGAACTAATTATGGTAATGCAATTTTAACACATTCAAGTAGTGACTAATTTATTTAAAATTAGTGACAATAAAAAATCAATGATAATTTTTAAAAAATTGATAAATTAAACGTTTAGCGATAAAAAGTAGTTAAATTATGAATAGTAACACTTTTTACATATAGACGCATAGGTGTATACTATTTTATATTCTATTTTGATACTTAAAACAAATAAATCTTATCGGGATGGCATTATTTGTAAGATTTGACAAGTTTTTAAATATTTCTATAATAAATTTACACAATAGAAGTATCATTATAACACAATGATTAAACAACTCTCCCAGACACGTTTAATCTCAACTGAGCATAACGTTGATTTTTTCCATGAAATCTAATGCTATTTACCTACTATAAAAACCATACGGCAATTCTTATGATATTACACTTTGAATAAATTTTTAAAGATACATACGTTAGTTAACTTCGCACATTTAATTATAAGTTAAAGACATCAATAAAATATGTAGTATTATTCCTAATAAATTAAATTCAATTGACACTTAAAAGAGAAAATGCTAAAGAATCTTGTAATATATATCATTTGATGAAAAATACTACAATTATTTAAATATAAAAAGTGATCCAAAATTAGCCTGATCCACAACTAGTGGTTTTACCCTATGTCATTTTTTTTAGATGGAAGCGTTAAGAAGATATGAAGGTCATCTGGTCACCTCTACTTTTAAAAATGGAATTATATAGTTTTCTTTCCCATAATTTAATTTAATTTAATTTAATTTAGTTTATTGCAAAGCTTTATAAAAAAGACTACATGTTAACAGAGTAATAGACATAAAAAAATATGATACAATAGACTATAATTAACATAAACATAAATACAATAGACAATAGTAGCTTGCAAATGGTTAGGCGTCAGTAAAATTGCTGTTACAAAGCCTATCAGCAACAAAACCAGAATAAGACAACAATGCAATAAAAGGTAAACCAATAAGTGAAATCATACAACACACACACTGACACACACGCATGCGCGCGCGCGCTATGCCCGCAACACACCAATTTCATCAGTAAACGAGCATAAGCAGCCCGACACTCGATGGCTACGTGTGACTTGAATGACCATAAAGAGTCAACTGGGACATCAAGAATCTTAATAGAGGAGGAGCGAGGAATTGGAACAGAATTAAGAGGAATGTCGAAGGACTGAATACGGGATAACAATGTTGAGGAACAGACGATCAGCAAGGATGATTTAGAAGGATTTAGATGCAGGGCATTAATGGACCATTCAGCAATAGATTTTAAATCTACATTCAAAGCAAAACATGTTGCTAAAGCATCAAATGGGTAAAAGGATTTAAGAAGAATTACGTCATTTGTATACATGAAGAGCTCGGAGGACAGAGAAATATTAGACAAATCAGAGACAAAAATATTAAAGAGTAAGGGTCCGAGAATGGAACCCACCGTCGTGAAAAGTGTCAGTGGTATTATCATTCAGATCAATAGTAAAATCATTTGAACTAATGATAAAATTATATCGACTCAACGGCATTATCATTATCGAATGATTACACTACTTGAGGCGTTCAATAACAAAATCTTTCGGTCAGTGGTAAAATATTTTATCATTGGAGTAGTTCAATAGGAATATCATTCGACTAATGATATATTAGTTACAATTGAATACGCATCAATAGAAATATCATTCGATCAGTGGTATAATATTTTACTATTGGATTATTATTAATAGGAATATCATTCGCATTGAAAGCTACTCATTTATACAATTCAGTGGTACTTTCAATGGTATTTTACCAATGGTAAAATCACTGACCGGTGATAAAATCTTCAATAGTAAAATATTATCCCAGATAACCAATCGTACGATATTCCACGATACCCACACAAAATACCGCTACCGTACTATTACTGTATGAGATAGCGGTGTACGGCGTAACTGTATGGTAGTAGTACAAAAAGTGTACATGTTCTTATAGTACAGCATATCAACACTGTACCTGTACTGCATACAGTTTAGATACATCATGGTACATAACTCGTACCATATCAATACGGCGTATCAATACTATTATCGACACACACACAGGAGAGAGACCGTGGAGACTTCTAGTCGAAGACAATATATATGATAACTGATACTACGAAAGTACAGCGTATGATTCTTAACCTGAAAATAGTCGTTATAATATTAAAATTAAATATCAGACAGTAACTGATTGGATGTTCAGTTGAACTGCATAAATTTCTATCAAAATCATATATTAAACAGATGTATCATAGCTAAATATTAGCACTACTTTCTGTGGCAGAGCTATTTACGCGAATATTTCTAATTTAAATAGATTATGACTTAACACAAATCCATCGTGCCGATCTGTGCGGCCTCGGAATTGATTTTTTTTTATTATGTTTTGTTCGTATGAATATGGTTAACGAGAACAAGTTGCCACTTTTTGCCACTTTTGCTCGTTACTAAAGATATGTATTTATTTTCCCACTACTACACAGTAGGCCAAGAGACTCGAATAAATGACCAAAAATCCATTTACTCCAGAATTTTGATAAAATTATGAAAAATTATGATTCTTCGGATCGCTGATTTCGAATCCGATGTCAGAATTGCATAATTCAAAATGGCGAACAATTTTCTATAATAATTGCCTAATTTTTATTCAGTAGTATATATCGATTTTTTAATTTTTTTATTTTGAAATTTGAATGTAGTTAAACATTTTTGAAAATTGATTAATTAATTATTATTCAAATATAATTACAAATCTTCATCATACTGCTCTTCATTAGTCAAATGACCAAATAATGCAAACTTTCGTAAAAATTTGTAAGGCCGCTTGAGTCATCTTCTTTCTCGGTTTCATTTGATTGAGAAAATGAAAAAATGTTCTTGTCTCGCAATAATAAAAAATGTATTTAACAGAACTTTAGATACTTCTGACCTCATTATATCTATACTTAACCTTAATTCGCGAATTCAGAAAAGGCAGCACAAAGCTATCCCCAAAGAAGTAATTCACTTGCTTGACATTCCTAAGTTCGACCAGTCAATGGATTTTCTTTCTGAATGAAATGAAACCGAGAAAGAAGATGACTCAAGCAACCTTACAAATTTTTACGAAAGTTTGCATGATACGGAGATGACTAATGAAGAGCAGTGTGATGAAGGAGATTTGTAATTAGCTTGAATACTAATTAACCAGTTTAAAAAAATGTTAAAAATATAAAAATTATAAAATACAAAAAAATTAAAAAATAAAATACAAAAAGTAAAAATAAAAAAACAGCAAAATGGAGTCAATATTTTTGACTCCACGTCCTCTATTCGTGACTCTGGGTACGGCAAAGAGCAGTAGTAATTTAAATTTACAAGTTTGAACTTTTTTCTCCACAAATTTCATTAAATGTTCACTTTGAAGTTAGCCATATTGGATCCGTCATTTGTAATTTAAAAAATTGTAATGTCTAACTCGTAATCAACGACCCTGAAAAAAAGTTTTCATTAAAAATTTACTGGTTTTTGCATTTTCGGGTCTCCATTTTGGATCCGCCATTTTGAATTATAAAATTCTGACATCAGATTCGGAATTAGCGATCCCAAAAACCGTTATATATTTAATTTCATAAAAATTAGACGATTATTATAAAAAATTCGCCGTCATTTTAGATCCGCCATTTTGAATTTCTACATTCTGAGTTCGGATTCGAAATCAGCGTCTCCAAAAACCCCTGAATATCAAATTTAACAGCAATTAAAGCATTTTTATCATTCTCATTCGTCATGTTGGATCCGCTATTTTGAATTTCTAAATTTTGAGTTTGGATTCAAAATCAGTGACCCCAAAAACCCTTAGATACCGAGTTTTTTGCCAGTCCATCAACATTTTGAATTTTGGCCAAGATTTCGGATCGTCTGGCCCACTGTGCAGTGGTAAAATCCTCAGTGATAAAATATTACCATTGGCAAAAACTCATTCAGCTTGTTATAAAATACTATTGAAAACTTTCAATGATTTTTTCAATGATACTTTTAATAGTAAAATCATCTATTTTTTCGTGACGGGCCTGGAGAACACCGGCACTGGAGGGCGCCGATAATTCACTGTTTGTAAATTGATCCGCCATTTTGGATCCGCCACTTTAAATTTCAAAAATCTGAGGTCAGATTCGTAATCAGCGACCCCGAAAACCCCCAAATAACAAATTTCAACTCAATCCTACGTATAGGAAAATGTGTGCTTCAAAGGGTTAAATCCCCCCAGAACACAAATATCCGCTTTTATTTAATTGTCATCTCTATAATAGCAAACCATCGAAAGTATCTTTGTAATGACAATCTCTTCTGATAGGCCGTTCGAATCTAACGTTAAAAATTGTAGAACCTATATCAGTGGATATGGAAAATAGATCACCATGAGATGTCTCTATAAGAGAAATGAACTGGAGAGAAATGGATGGAAAAAAGGAAGAAATAGATATATATGTATATAAAATATTACACAGAAAGATATGTTTAAATATGACAAATTATAAGCAAATATCAATGAAGTAATAATATAAAGGTCAAATAGATTCCAAATCAAATTACTCGTAAATTAAACAAATTAAATGACTATACGCCAAAGCTAGATGTTTAATGGTCAAATTAACTGACAATAAAATTTATATAAAATAATAAATACTTTGATCTATATCATTATCAATGTTAAATAAAATGATAGTATTGTATGTGGCACATATAATATAAAAGTTAAACGGCAGTTAAAAATGTAAATTATATGACTATATTTTTACTGATTCTAATCATTGTATTATTAAAGTCAAATGACAATTAAATATGTAAAATTTAAAACAGTATTGGATCTCTGTTATTGATTCGAAGTATCATATTACAATTACGCTTGCACACAAATATAAAAATGTTGAGCCAATAAAAGTAGACAGTCTTAAACAACGTTAAGACCAATTATACTGTAACAGTAATTTATAGACTACGATCATTCTGTCTTTATTGTCTTCAGAGAGTAAATATAAACAAACAAGACGAACTTATAATATAATTAGCATAATTCTGAAAACTAAGATTTAGTTATATGTATTAAAAAGTAAAACACAAATGGTACTGTCTGTTGTTATCACCAACGATTACTTAATTGGCAGTGAAACTGACTAATCGTATTTGTTGTTTAGTAGAATTGACCACTTATGGTTGTTAATCATCGATTCGGCTTAATCGAGTTGGTGAAATTGATCCTTGTATATAATATTCCTGAAGTCAATTATAAGGTAAATTATTTACAAATAATGATAACTTTAATTCTCTGTCAAAAATTATTACCCTTCGAAAAAAATTAATTTAAATGAAAAATATCAAATGAAAAATTAAAACTCAGATGCTATAATCTTAACTAATCAAGTTAAATTATATCAAATTAAAGAGTAAAACACAAATGGTATTGCCTCTTGTTATTTACTTAACTCCAATGATATATGTCATTCGTATAAAAGATTTGATATGAACAAAATTCGCTCCAAGTTAATTTCTCAAAATTTCATGTATTATTCGTAAAAAAGATTTGATATCAACAATTGGCGCCAAGTTAAATTCTACTATCAAAACAAAAAGTAAAACTCAAGTGTGTGTGTAATACCATCTTTATTATTTATTTAATTCAAATAATACTATCTTTAATTTTTATGCAATGAAACCTAAGTATACGTTGTACCTCTTATTGAAAAATCTTTCTGTTCCAATCTAAATAGTTTAAATTTCTCTTAAATGAAATTATTATAGCACAATTCATTTATATATATATATATATATATATATATATATACATACAGGGTGACCCATTTTAACTTAGACAGCCAAATAACTCGAAACATCGCGATTAAATAAAAAAATGTTTAAAACAAAAATTGTTGGATAAGAA